CTCCACCAGCTCCGATGCCACCTTCACCAGCTTCGATTCCACCTTCACCAGCTCCGATTCCACATCCACTAGCTCCAATTCCACTTACACCAGCTGCGATTCCACTGCCATCAGCTCCGATTCCACCCCAATAGCTCCGATTCCACCTCCACCAGCTCCGATTCCACCTCCACCAGCTCCGATTGCACCTTCACCAGCTCCGATGCCACCTTCACCAGCTTCGATTCCACCTTCACCAGCTCCGATTCCACATCCACTAGCTCCAATTCCACTTACACCAGCTGCGATTCCACTGCCATCAGCTCCGATTCCACCTCCACCAGCTCCGATTCCACCTCCACCAGCTTCGATTCCACCTTCACCAGCTCGGATTCCACATCCACTAGCTCCAATTCCACTTACACCAGCTGCGATTCCTCTGCCATCAGCTCCGATTCCACCCCAATAGCTCGGATTCCACCTCCACCAGCTATGATTCAATCTCCACCAGCTCCGATTCCACCTCCACCAGCTCCGATTCCACTTCCACCAGCTCCGATTCCACATTCACCAGCTTCGATTCCACTTTCACCAGCTCCGATTCCACATCCACTAGCTCCAATTCCACTTTCACCAGCTGCGATTCCTCTGCCATCAGCTCCGATTCCACCTCCACCAGCTCTGATTCCACCTCCATCGGATCCGATTGCACTTCCACCAGCTCTGATTTCACCTATACCAGCTCTCATTCCACCTCCTCTAGCTCTGATTACACCTTCGCCGGCTCCGATTCCAGCTCTACCGGTTCCGATTCCACATCGACCAACTCCGATTCCACCTCCATCAGCTCTGATTCAATCTCCACCAGCTTCGATTCCACCTTCACCAGCTCCGATTCCACCTCCACCAGCTCTGATTCCATCTATACCAGCTCTCATTCCACCTCCTCTAGCTGTGATTACACCTTCACCGGCTCCGATTCCAGCTCTACCGGTTCCGATTCCACATCCACCAACTCCGATTCCACCTCCATCAGCTCTGATTAATCTCCACCAGCTCCGATTCCACCTTCACCAGCTTCGATTCCACCTTCACCAGCTCCGATTCCACATCCACTAGCTCCAATTCCACTTACACCAGCTGCGATTCCTCTGCCATCAGCTCCGATTCCACCTCCACCAGTTCCGATTCAATCTCCACCAGCTTCGATTCCACCTTCACCAGCTCCGATTCCACCTCCATCAGCTCTGATTCAATCTCCACCAGCTTCGATTCCACCTTCACCAGCTCCGATTCCACCTCCACCAGCTCTGATTCAATCTCCACCAGCTCCAATTCCATCTCCACCAGCTCCGATGCCACCTTCACCAGCTTCGATTCCACCTTCACCAGCTCCGATTCCACATCCACTAGCTCCAATTCCACTTACACCAGCTGCGATTCCACTGCCATCAGCTCTGATTCAATCTCCACCAGCTCCAATTCCATCTCCACCAGCTCCGATGCCACCTTCACCAGCTTCGATTCCACCTCCACCAGTTCCGATTCCACCTCCACCAGCTCTGATTCCACCTCCACCAGCTCCGATTCCACCTCCACCAGCTCTGATTCCACCTCCACCAGCTCCGATTCCACCTCCACCAGCTCTGATTCCACCTCCACCAGCTTTTATTCCACCTCCACCAGCTCTGAGGCGCCGGGCACCAGCTCCGATTCCAGTTGTCGATCCATCTCCGATTCTACTATTACATCTCCACCCGCTTCGATTCCACCTGCACCAGCTTCGATTCCACCTGCACCAGCTCCGATTCCACCTGCACCAGCTTTGATTCCACCTCCACCAGCTCCGATTCCACCTTCACCAGCTCCGATTCCACCTCCACCAGCTCTGATTCCATCTATACCAGCTCTCATTCCACCTCCTCTAGCTCTGATTACACCTTCGCCGGCTCCGATTCCAGCTCTACCGGTTCCGATTCCACATCGACCAACTCCGATTCCACCTCCATCAGCTCTGATTCAATCTCCACCAGCTCCGATTCCACCTTCACCAGCTTCGATTCCACCTTCACCAGCTCCGATTCCACATCCACTAGCTCCAATTCCACTTACACCAGCTGCGATTCCTCTGCCATCAGCTCCGATTCCACCTCCACCAGCTCCGATTCAATCTTCACCAGCTCTGATTCCACCTCCACCAGCTCCGATTCCACCTCCACCAGCTCTGATTCCACCTCCACCAGCTCTGATTCCACCTCCACCAGCTCCGATTCCACCTTCACCAGCTCCGATTCCACCTTCACCAGCTCCGATTCCACCTCCACCACCAGCTCCGATTCCACCTCCACCAGCTCCAATTCCACCTCCACCAGCTCCGATTCCACCTCCACCAGCTCCGATTCCACCTCCACCAGCTCCGATTCCACCTCCACCAGCTCCGATTCCACCTCCATCATCTCCGATTCCACCTCCACCAGCTCCGATTCCACCTCCACCAGCTCCGATTCCACCTCCGATTCTCCGATTCCACCTCCACCAGCTCCGATTCCACCTCCACCAGCTCCGATTCCACCTCCACCAGCTCCGATTCCACCTCCACCAGCTCCGATTCCACCTCCACCAGCTCCGATTCCACCTCCACCAGCTCCGATTCCACCTCCACCAGCTCCACCTCCACCAGCTCCGATTCCACCTCCACCAGCTCCGATTCCACCTCCACCAGCTCCGATTCCACCTCCATCATCTCCGATTCCACCTCCACCAGCTCCGATTCCACCTCCACCAGCTCCGATTCCACCTCCACCAGCTCCGATTCCACCTCCACCAGCTCCGATTCCACCTCCACCAGCTCTGATTCCACCTCCACCAGCTCCGATTCCACCTCCACCAGCTCCGATTCCACCTCCACCAGCTCCGATTCCACCTCCACCAGCTCCGATTCCACTTGTAGAAGCATCGACGATACTACTATTACATCTGCACCAGCTTTGATTACATCTGCACCAGCTCCGATTCCACCTGCACCAGCTTTGATTCCACCTGCACCAGCTCCGATTCCACCTGCACCAGC